AACGCCAAGGTCATAAATAAAATAAAAATGTTAATTTATTTAATTGACCAAATTATATGAAATTAATTAATAAAATTTTTATGTTAAAATTATGCAAAACGTCTGTAATAGTTATATATACTTTAAGTAAAAGAAATTTAAATATTTAATTAAACTAACATGAAAATAATTAATTACACTTAATTATAATTAATTAATTGAAATTTTCCAAAGTAGTTTGAACTAATAGAGAAAATTTGGTTAATCAAATTATTGAACATCTAAATTAAAAATCGTTTGTAAAAGTTAATGGAAAATTTTAACTGAAAAATACATAAATTTTTGTAATATTTAATAAAACAATTTAAAGTAATTAATTCGAAAATACTTAATGGAACTATGTTATTATTTTTGCATATATGTACTTACTTATAATATCAAAATAATTAATTAAAAAAAATAGTCATGAATTAATTACTTTAATTAAAATGTGTAATTTTTTATTTTTATTTTATGTAATTAATTACAATTTATTTAAAATACTTAATTGAACATACATACAAATAATTACTGCGTATGCATGAAAATTAGTAATTTAATACAGGTAAATTAAATTTAAAAAATTAAGTAAAATAATTAACTTAATTAAAGTAATTAAAGTTTTAATTAATTAATTAATAACCTTGAAAGTATAAAAAATCAATGTGTTAATTGAAATAAATCGAATAAAGAACAAGAAAAGTTAAGTAAAGTAATTTATTACTATAATTACTATATTTAATTAGTCTAAAATAGTATTAATAAAATAATTTTAAATTGATTGGCACAGGAAAATTAAGTTAAATAATTTAAAACCATCCAAAATTTAACGTAAAAATTTATTTATAATTAATTACAATTTTTTTTATAGTTTTATTTATATTTAGGAGAGTGTTAGCTTCCATGGAATTTGTCTTTTAATACAAATCTTTATCAACACCTTCAAAATGGGCTCCAATGACAGTACAAATAAGCAAATGCTCTTTCCATTTTTTCATACTCTTTTTATACGATTCTGTTGGGATGACTTTCGAGGYTTTCAGAGAATTTCGGTCTTTTCGGATTATTATACACTTTCAACGTCATATTCTAAACCCACGACTCGTCACCAGTAATGATGGATTCGACGAATGTAGGGTTCTCAGCTATGTTGTTTTGCATCTCTTTTGCAACCTTTACTCGACGTACTTTTTGCATAAGATGCAGGCCTTCATACCCAAAGCATTAAGCAAAGTGTATTGAGTTGATACATAAGAGATGTTGAGAACCTCTTTCTCTCTAACTTTGTCAATGCTATCGTCATTAACAGAGTGAATGTATTACTCACACTTTAGGTCGCGGGGCAATCCTGATCGATTCATCTTATCCATACTATAATGATTTCCGACTCATTTTCACAAATCAAATATTTTAAAATTGTAGAAAAAATTGGAAAAAAAAACAACACACACAACAACAACCTATATTACTTACTAAAAAAATATTTTTCACTCGTTTATTTTCGACAATCGTCCAATTGATCGTTTATCCATTAGCCATTTTGTGATTAGACGATTTTCCATTTAACGTTTTTTGTGTGTTTTCTAATGTTTGTTTTTGTATTTTTTACAATTTTCTGTTGTTTTTGTCGAAGTTTTTCCCGTTTTTATATTGGCATTAACACCAAATTAAGCATTTTTATGCGCCATTGCGGCAGCAACGCCATCAAAATCGTCATAATTAACAACGACAACAAACACTAAAGCACACGAACAACAACAGCAAAAACAATACACAAATAACAGCACTGCTTGTGGCAATAAAATAAGTGGCAGTCGGGGGAAAATGAGCTAAACAACGACTATCGCAGACGAATCATCAGCGCTGATGGCCGGTTAGCGGTTAGCTACCAGCAACCAACACAAACAAACGCCGCTAACAGTGAAGTGAAAAAGTGTATATGTTTACAAGTGTATATGTACATATGAGATAAAGTAAAAAACTGCAAGTTTGTGAGGAAACTAATACTTTTTTCAAGCGTTTTTAGTTTAGTCAAACGTTGGCGTCAGCGAAAAAGTATTTACAGCGGAATAAATATTGAAAGGAAAGGAAAGTTGTAAAAGGTCAAGACAAAAAGAAGTGTTTAAATGTTGAACATATGCATAAGAGAATTAAAACATATAAGTATATAGAATTAGAGAATTTGAGTGTTAATCATAAAAACTTAATTTTTGTGATTTTTTTTAAGTTATTCGTAGTAGCCAACCATTACTTCTTTGGGAGTAAAAAAATCAAGCTTTCTTATAAAATAAGCTTGAAGAATTATTTAAAGTCGTTGAACATTTTTTTTTAAGATTTTGTGTCTAATCAAGTACGGCAAAGATCTAAGAACGGAGACTTCTTGTGTTTTTATTGGATTTCCTCCTCAGTTACAAGCTGACTAAGACTCAGCCCGTGAGACATTGCAGTTTTGAATATTTAATTTACCACTGAACTCAAACTGGCTCTAGAACTTCAGTGTATATTGCTTGTTTACGTTCTATACTCTATCTCCTGCCAACTAGTAGTCAAGTTTGGCAAATGTTACAGCAAGTTCACTCCTTTTTTTTTTACCTTCTCCTTCCAGCGAAACTTACCATCTGAGTTGGTACTTAGCACTATTATGATGTAGTATATTAGTATTATTTATATAAATCTTGCCTTCCTAGAAGATTGCTTCCTATGCCTTTCCCTCATTTGTGCTTGTTTAAGCTCTCAAGGATTCAATATTAAATTGGATGTACTCGACTCTTCGCAAGTTTGTTCCTTAACATTCTAATTTCTTCTTCTTTACTGACATAGACACCGCTTACGCAGGTATAGCCGAGTTAATAACAGCGCGTCAGCCGTTTCTGCTTTTCGCTATTTGAAGCCAACTCGAGATACCAAGTCTAGCCAGATACTTCTCCACCTGGTCTCTCTAACGGAGTGGAGGTCTTCCTCTTCCTCTGATTCCAACGGCGTGTACTGAATTGAAAACTTTCAAAGCTAGAGTATTCTCTACGATTTGGATGACATGATCTAGCCAGAATTTCTCTTAATCTACTGAATTATGCCAATGTTCGCCGTATATCTTGTACGGCGCATCCTTCCATCGACTGCTCGCTATTTCCAATGGTCAAAGGACCATAAATCTTCCACAAAACCTTTCTCTCGAACACTGCTGAAGCTGACCCATCAGATGGTTTCGTTGGTAGTTTCACCGCGCCATCTAGCAGGACAGGATTGATGAAGGGCTTGTAGAGTTTGATCTTTGTTCGGCGAAAGAGGACTTTATTTTTCAATTGTCTACGCAGCAATTGATTGAAGAAGTCACACATTAAGGAATTTCCTTGTTTGAAACCTCTCTTAGTATTGTACGGCTCGATGAAGTCCTTCTTACATAGCCATATTAGCTTCACGGGAATACCAAGTTCGAACATAGTGGCATAGAGACAGTTCATTTTCATGCTATAGTAGGTGGCTTTAAAATCGACGGAGATATGATATGTGTCGATCATCGGATCTTTTCCAAAATTTGGCATATGGTGAAAATTTGATCGATTATATTAGGTTGTCAAAAAAGTCTTGCGGTATTTTCGCTAGTTGGCGCTGAGAGCGCGTAGTTCTAGAAAGCTCATTTCACGCGCTAACACGTGTTTGATTGATTGCCGTTTATTTTAAGTCGTTCGTGAGTTATATCGTCGCAAACATGGAGCAAAATAAAGAGAAAATACGGCATATTTTACAGTACTACTACGATAAAGGCAAAAATGCATCTCAAGCCG